TGCAAGTCTGCAAATCGGAAGAATATTCTCTCACATATGGTATCAGATGCGTTCCAACAACGATGTTGTCTGCTACTGTTGCTTTGTTCTCGTGTTTCTTTGGAATTTCAGCTTGTTGTCTATGTTTTACCTCGCTGCTCTCTTTCTATACGCTCTTTGCGTCAACACCGGGCCAAGCTACATCTTTTGGATAGTCATGTTAATCTATACCGAATTCTACATTTTGATTCAGTATCTTTATCAAGTTGTGATTCAACATTGCGGTTTCAGCATCCAGTCGAACTTTCTTCCCGAGTTGGGGTTTCCGACCAAGAGGATAACATCGTCTTTTGTGATTAGTTCGCTACCGTTATTTATGGTGTACTTGTCCACTCTCGTGCAGAGTTCTATAACTGCAAAAGACGGGGAATGGTTTTCTCTAGCGTATGGTAATATTAAAGGAAGGCTAGTGGACTGGAAAGAAGTTCCGATGGGGTCGAGCTGGAATGAGAAGGTGAAGAAGCTATTTCAGCCGTTGAAAAGTATGCTGAAAATCGTGATCCGAAGCGGTTGCAGATACTGGAAATCGCTGACACAGGAAGCGGAATCGCCCCCGTACTTTGTCCAATTGTCCATGGATGTGAACGTGTGGCCCGAGTACGGGATCCAGCCCGAGAGAATCGAATCGGGAATAAACCAGTTGCTGTTGTTGGTGCATAACGACAGATGCAAGAACGAAAACCCTAATTATTGCTCCTGCGTGAGTAGGGTTCAGATTCAAAGCATCGAGAAGAGCGCTGAAAATCCAAACATGGCTTTAGCGGTTTTTGAGGTGGTTTCTTCGTGCCCGCTTACAGAATGTACACCCGAAGAACCGTTCAAGTCCCTCACTCCGGCTGCTGACGTGGCACAGGATATTCTTAAAGCACAATCCATGGGTTTCGTCGAAAAAATTAGGTTCCCGTACCCTATACTATCCATCATTGGAGGTGGCAGAAGAGAAATCGATCTTTATGCCTACATCTTCGGTGCTGATCTGACTGTGTTTTTCTTGGTCGCTATTTTCTACCAATCTGTTATAAAAAATAAGAGTGATTTTCTCGACGTTTCTCAGCTAGAGGATCAGTTCCCTAAAGAGTTCGTATTTATGCTGATGGTAAGCACTAAGCACGTACTAACATGAGCTTATTTTATTCTGCAGAAAGCTTATATAATTCTCTGATTTTATTCATGGCTCCATGCAGGTTATTTTCTTCTTGATTATGGTTGATCGAGTCATATACCTTTCTTCATTCACCTCGGGGAAAGTGATTTTCTACCTTTTCAATCTCATTCTTTTCACATATGTTGTCACGGAATATGCTTGGAGTACGGATTCTTTACAGCAGAGTGCTGCGGGATTAGCCCTCCGTGCAATATATCTCACCAAAACAATTTCTTTGGCTTTACAAGCCATCCAAATCCGTCATGGAATTCCCCACAAAAGTACATTGTATCGCCAGTTTCTAACCAGCAAAATCTCGCGGGTCAATTATATTGGTTACCGACTTTACCGTGCCCTGCCATTCCTCTATGAACTGAGATGCGTGCTTGATTGGTCATGCACGAAAACATCATTGACAATGTACGACTGGTTAAAGGTGAGTCCTCTCCACAAATAAAAATGATAAAAGAGGCGCGTTTGCATGTGATTGTGTAAATATATTGATATATCGATTCTTGTTTGCATTACCTAATGAATAGTCTTGAAATTTGTTATAAACAAAGATTGGGCCAGGGTCACTCACCTGGGCTATAATGCACATAGGTCAAACCACAATAAAAGATTGAATCCAACCAATTAGCTAGTCTAACCCATGGCCTTATAAGCCAAACTCTAGACGTCACCAAAGCGGGCTTACGAAAGCTTGGATGCCACCAATACCCATAAGAGGGTGAACTCAAAGTGGACCGAACAGGCTCTGATACCATGTTATAAACAAAGATTGGGTCAGGGTCACTCAACTGGGCTATAATGCACATAGGCCAAACCATACTAAAAGATTGAATCCAACCAATTAGCTAGTCTAACCCATGACCTTATAAACCCATATGTTCTCTCTTATTTTATAGATGTAGGACCCTTAACAAAATTCATGATGGTGATGTTTCGGTATCTTCTTATAGCTAGAAGACATAAATGCAAGCTTGTATCTTGTCAAATGTGATGCTGTTCTGAATCGAGCAACACATAAACCAGGCGAGAAGCAGACCAAGATGACTAAATTCTGCAACGGGATTTGCTTGTTCTTCATTTTAATCTGTGTAATTTGGGCTCCCATGCTGGTAAGTGTCTTCTGTAATTTACACTATCTGCTTTTGAGAATGTAATGTTGGCCGTGATTTTATTAAAGATATTCGGGTGTCATATATTTGAAATATCATCGTATCATTAGCTGTTCAGTCACGGCAAGCCTTTTTGTTTTACTCAACAACAAAATACCTAATTGTTATAACCAGCTTGGTTGGCGTGAGTGACCGTGCACTCTTGTCCCTTAAGAGAGGTCGGGAGTTCGAACCCCCTCTCGTATGGAAAAACCAATTTGGCCAACACTTTGCCCCTTAATTGGGCCAAACCGGTGCGAACGGGGATTAGTCTGAGTATGGAAAAACCAATCTGGCCTGCTCAGGACACCTCGTGGCATGACAAAAAAAAATACCTAATTGTTATCTCGTATTCTTTGTTGTTTTGCTTTGATATTGTCACCGGCTATTAATAGACACTCCTATTCCTTCAGATGTACAGCAGTGGTAATCCAACGAACATTGCAAATCCCATCAATGATGCGAGTGTTCAGCTCGATATCAAGACTGATGGCGGCAGGTTGACGCTATACCAGACGACTCTATGCCAAAGAATCCCGTGGGATCAGATTTACGATACTAACAATCTTGATCCCGATGGTTGTCTTGATGCGTATAACGTGTATGATATCCAATTGATTTGCTGTCAAGCCGACTCCAGTAGTTTGTGGCTTGTCCCGGAAGCGGTTCAGAGGAGGTTCACTCAGTCTTTCAATAGCAACATGGAGATTAAGTTTTCTTGGGTTCTCGCGAGAGACAGGCCGAAAGGGAAGGAAGTTGTGAAATACGACTTAACCGTTGATCCTCCACAACCGTCAAAAGTCGAGAAAGTTATAAATGGCTCTGCCAGTAGCTTTAGAGTTGAACACATCTATCCGAGATTTTTTCGGGTGACTGGTTCGGGAGATGTTAGGCCTTTCGAAAAGCAGGTATGCTTTATCCACGTCTCCGTGGAATTTATGATTGTTCTTTTGTCTAGTAGCTTATAGGCTATAGGAATTTATATTTTGATGATTATAAGATGAACTATTTAATTTTCAGCACTTATATATTTTGAAGGAAATCGACGTGAGTGCTGATATTGTTTTGAATCGTGGAGTTTCGGAGTGGTGGTCCTTCCACGATACCAATTCGTTGGATGTTAGCGGGTGTGGAGGGTGGACGGGGCCCATGGCCATCATCGTATCAGAAGAAACTCCACGTGAGTATTAATTTACATTTATGTTAGTAGAAACCGAAATAGATGTTAAAATCGTTAATAATCTATCGAATCTATGCTAGAGGGCTTGCTTGGCGAGACACTTAGCAAGTTTAGTATCTGGGGTCTCTACATTACGTTCGTACTAGCAGTTGGGCGGTTTATCCGGCTTCAGTGCTCCGACTTGCGAATGAGAATCCCGGTCGAGAATCTCCCGTCATGTGACAGGTATATTACTTCACCCCGTTGTTGTATAGAGAGCAATGTTGAAAAAATCGCTAGGCGCCTGGGGACCGCCTAGAACGCCTAGGCACGATTTATGCAACAGTGATAGAGAGTAAACGAATATCTTGAAATATGGAAACACGAAAGACATTTTTATGGTGAGATCTCGTTAATATGGTGGTTTTGGCAGATTGATTGCGATCTGTGAGGATATTTATGCTGCGAGAGCCGAGGGTGAGCTTGGGGTCGAGGAGGTCCTGTACTGGACGCTCGTGAAGATTTACAGGTCACCGCACATGTTGCTGGAGTATACGAACCCGGACTAGACACCCGGAGGGAATCAATCGCGTTTTTCAAGTAGCAGGATTAGTGACTAACACTAACACCTGACTGACACCATTCTTAGATGAGATGAGATTCCAACCAATACCCTTCTTCTTCTTCGTTTTCGCTTTCACATTTCAGTAATCGACTTCCCATTAGTTTGAAGCCGGGAAGGATCGTATATGCGTCTAGAGATACGAGCGATACGTGTAAATATTCAGTTATAGAATGTAAAATCGATTTGAATTGTGTTTGTAATATGATATATACTTCTATACAAGGAAAGTTGTTGTTTTACCTTTGCAGTGATGAAGATGTAACCTTGATCACACTTGACATTTTGCATCAATGGGAAAAAGTTGAAATCTTTTTGCAAAGTATCGTTGATTCAACTGCAAATGCAATTGTAAAGTCTAAGAAACGACTTTAGACAGTTATTGAGCTGCAAATGCAACTGTAAGGTCTAATGAACGACAACATTGTAAGGTCTAAAGAACGATAACAAACCGTAATTGAGCTGCAAATGCAACTGTAAAGTCTAAGAAACGACTTTAGACAGTTATTGAGCTGCAAATGCAACTGTAAGGTCTAATGAACGACAACATTGTAAGGTCTAAAGAACGATAACAAACCGTAATTGAGCTGCAAATGCAACTATAAAGTCTAAAAAATGACTATTACAAAGAATGACAACAGACAGTAATTGAATTGCAAATGCAACTGTAAGGTCTAAGGAACGACTGCAAATGCAACTGTAAGGTCTAATGCAACTGTAAAGTCTAAAGCACGACAGCTCAAATGCAACTGTAAAGTCTAAAAATCGACCATAGACCGTCGATCGTTCGACGAAACATCTACCATGAAAAGTAAAACTTTGCCTATCAAAAATTAAAAAAGAAAAACAGTAAATAAGTTTGGAGAAGCAAGTGAATGGTAAAGAAAATGAAGCAATTCATCATATCAAATCATATCACAGGAAACCTAATACAGAAATTATGTTGTTTTGTGAAGTTGGGATACACAAAATCCTTCATTTCTTGCAGAGTTACAGAAGCAACAGACAAACACCCTAGTCCCTACCAAGACCAGACACCATATCCAGGGAAATCGTAACACTTCTAAAATTAAATAAAACCCAAAAAAAATACTAGGATGTTGAAATTAGGGTTCCTAGGACTGACTAGAAACACAACCGGGTCATTTGGCGCCCGGGTCATTTGGCGCCGGAGATTGAACCCGGACCTTTCTTGCTGCTCGCAGCTGCGGCGGAAGCAGGGATGGTGTCCTCCATGACTTTAGGCGTTTTGAAGCTAAAATCGGCGACGGATAAGTTGGAAAACTCCGGGTTTTCTTTGAGGAAACTGGCGACTTGGATGGAGGATCTGAGGCGCTTCCGGGTCGGGGTGGTATAATGGATATCCATTTTGCTGTAATCTTTCCTCATCGTCAGCACCTTCGTGAACCCGTCGGGGGTTTTAGGGAGATCCGGCTTGTCGATCACCCAAGTCCTCGACGCATCGTAGGTAATGTCCGCCGGATCCTCGCAGGTTTGGTTGGGTTTTTTGGCGCACACAAACGGGTCCTGCGTGAAATTCCGCCGGATTTCCTCGTACTCTTCTGGGGTTTCGACTGTTCGCCATTTGTAGCACTGCCCGCATTGCACCGCCCAAACATCCACCGAGTTCGGGCCCCTTTTTGCTGTCTGAAAACCCGCCCACGAAAAACCACAAATCAATCGGACAAGAACAACAAAAAAAAACCCCAAATTTTAAGAATAGAAACGAATCCAAAGATCGTACCTTTGTGGGGGTTTGAGGAGGATCGTTCACCATTCTTTAACTACTGCGCTTCTTCGTCTTCTTCTTCTTCTTCAGCTTTCTTTCTAAGGGCATACATACATATATACATGCTAAAAAATCTGTCTTTGACCTTCTTCTTTACAGCCATTTTCCGGTTTTTGTTTTCTTGTTTCTGCCCCCTGCATTCTTTCTATTTGTTATTTGCCCCATGGAAGTCCAAGCAAAACATTTCCTATCCCTATGATTAATTACCTTTACCTCTCCCCTATTAAAAACAAATTATTGCTCATATAGACTTAACTCAATGGTTTGCAGATAGTATTTGGAAAAAAAGATTAAGATTTGAATTTCAGCGCGGTAACAATATGGAGATTATGTCTAAAGTGGACAGATTTTTTGTGTGCACCTGCATTTTGCCATGTGTACTGAGTCATTAAGTTACCGTGATTTGAGGATATAGGGGACCTTTAAGATTAAGATTCAACCTTTAGGGAGAAGAAAAATAATTTTTTATTGTCATGAATTACTAATGATTATGTTGACACTATGTTGAGTTGAAAATAAATTTATGTATCCAATAAAAATATGACACTAAGAATTGGCTAATGGGACCTATAGCATGGATTGACATGGTTGTTGTTTAATAATCATACACTTTACTAACTTTTTAAAAAATGGATAATTGAAAGTTTTTTTTTTTCTTTCATAATTTCAAAAATAAAAACATGTCTAGTTTTGCATATAATTATGTTAATGTTAACTATGATAAACTCTCACTTCAAATATATGTTTACTTCTATGAATCTATCTTCATGACTTCACCTGCATACTCATCATCACTCACCAATCTTCTTCACCATTTGTCTACTGCATCACTCGCTTACTTATTCATTATCAGTATCACTGTCTCAATTATAATCATTGTTTCTTTTCATGTGCTAACATTTGTCTATTTACCTTATTATCGTCCATGTTCACCTTGCCTACTTGCACCTTACCATATGCATTAATGTTAGGGTTATATACGTTGTGTAATAGTTGGCCTCATTGGGATTGAATGACTAGAGTGACCGTAATTACAAAAAGGGCATACTATATATACCTCATAATTACATATTAGGTAACTAAATAAGTGTTTGACTAACCTAGGTGATTTAGTTGATTGGTCAGGTTGATATTAATTGCAATAATTCAACAAATCTATTATTGAATACGAAGAAGATGTGAAATATAATAATCATCAAACCAAATGTTATTATTATCATATATATATATATATATATATATATATATATATATATATGTTTTGTCACATCGATATTTGTGTATATAATCTAAGCTTTTGGACCCTTAACAAGTAGGCTATTATGTGAAACTAGAAGGGAAAATAACATTATTTTAGGGTATTAATATAAATGCAATATTATTAGTATTTCAAATAAGGTAATATCTTTATTTCATTTTGCCAATTATATTTACTACTCATTCATTCTCACTTTATGTGTTATATTCAATTAGCACTGTTTGATTAAAGTTATTTACAGTTTAATTTTTCATAATATTAGATTTAGTATTAGTATATAAAATGTATATATCTAAAAATTACATTAAAATATTATTTAGCACACAAAATAAATTTTAAAATTATAAAAAAAGTATTCAAAAAATTTAAAAATATTAAATAATTTTACATGTTAAACAAATCTTTATCAATGATTTTACATTTATTTATTTATATAATTTTAAAATTACCTTCTTTAGCCTAACCATGGTTTGGTGAAGTTGCCAAAAAGTGAAGGAGCAGAGTTAACCCGCATAGAGTTTAGTATGTGTGGCAGCGCCCCCATATAAAGCCTTCTCCAACCGCACTGTTGCGAGAGTGGAACGAACACTCAGGCGAGCAGAGGCGAGGGCGAAAGAGCTCGAAGAACAGTGGCGCCATAGCCTATAAGGCACCTCAAGAACCGGGGAGACTTCACCTTGCCGATTTTGTGCATTTCGTGAGTGCCCTTTCTCATTCAGGATTGAATTCTTGCTTCTTGGTTTGATTTAATCCTTTATTTCTCTATTTGGCCAATACCCAGATTTTTGTTGCTTCGTTTTTTCCATTTCTTGCACCTGATTTTGCCCTTTTCTGGCTGTTATTTTGATTGTTTCTTTTGTGATGTTCAGTAGGGGCTGTTATACTGTTATAGTCTATTAGGTTTTAGAGTCTGTGGCTTTGGTTATACTGTTTAAGTTATATTTAGTTGGATTAGTAATTTTCTATTGATTTCTTTGTTAATTTTGTATATGAAATTGTGGATGAATAATTTGTTTGAGTTCTTCACTTGTACTAAGTAGTTATGACTCTTTTTGCCTTCCCATTGTGATTTTCAATCAATTTTGCTCATTGCTGATTAGAATCTAATCTCATGTTGGTTATCGACTTATCGTTAGCTAATCCATTAGTCTTTCAGATTCTTGGATTGTTTGATTGTTTTCGAGACCATTTTAATGAGTTTCTGCTATTGCATTGAGAATTGTATGTAGCCAAAGAATCGAGTAGTCGGGGAAGTTCGAACAAAATGGTTAGCAAAAAAGAAATGGATGGCAGTGATGATGGTAGCAATGAGATGGTATCTTCTGTTTCAACCCAAGAGAACGGAAGTAGGAATAAGAGGAAGTTTTTGTCCGAATTCCCGTTAGACATTCCCGTAGATTCACCGGCTCCGTCTCTGACAGAATTCCCGAGATACGAGTTATTAGAGGAAAAGCTCCATAACACGCTAAATGAGTTTGCATCACTTGACCTGCAGTCTGGGCAGACTAACGAGAAACGTGAAATGGAAAGTTCACAAGTAGCTGATTGGGACGATCCGGTTGCATGTGAGCTCGAGAAACTTCTAATAAGTAATCTTCATGCAGCTTTCCGGAGTGCAATCAAGAAGATAGTTGAATGTGGGTACAGCCAGGAACTCGCGGAATTGGTTGTTTTGAGGAGTGGACTTTATCATGGCGTTAAGGATGTTGTCTCGAATGTTGTTGATGGTGCGTTGGCTTTGTTAACAAAAGAAAGGTATTTGGGTACTAGGTACCAGGTATTCGAGGAGTTCGATAGCCTAGTGGAGTACGCGATCCTCGAGATGATCTGTGTGCTGAGGGAAGTTAAGCCGTTTTTAACCGTTGCTGAAGCGATGTGGTACCTCTTGATTTGCGATCTGAACCTGTTACACGCATGTGCAGTGAAGGGAGATCCATCGTGCGAGTTCTTTGGTCAAGTAAATCACGGGGAGAGCTCGTCTGATACAAAGGCTCCCCAGTCGAAAACCGAAGTTTCTAAAGCCAGTTCAAACAATCAAAAATCACATCTTTTGAAATCTTCCGTTACTAGCTCTCAAAACCCGCAGTCTAAAGCTGTTGCCGCGTCTCAACTACCGAAAAACTCGCGATTTCGCGAAGTTGCGATGACTGGGAAAGAAGGCTCGGTGTCCCTTCTGGAGATGGAGGGGAAGTCTTTAGGTGCCGAAGAAAAATCCGGCGGGGCTGGTCGAAAGGGATCGTCACTTCTTTCCAAGAAAGATCTCCTACGGCAAAAGGCGTTTCATTTCGAGAAGACCTACAAAGGTCGTGTGGGTAAGGGGGGGCCCTCCTTTAAGGCCAAATTTACTTCCTGGGGCAGCATGGTTCTCGACAAAACCCTAAATCCTCCTCAACCCGGTTCTTCTAGTACAGCAACGAAACTCACTTCCTCTAAGATAATCCCATCTCCAAAGCCCCCGGGCAACACCTCAACCTCTTCCAGTTTGTCAAGTTATTATACCGGTATCCCTTACGACGAATCTCAGGGGAAATACGTTGCTCAAAACGAGAAAGATGAAAAGATATTAACGCTGATTTCCTGCGTTCACAAGCTAGAGAAAGAAATCACCGATTTGTCAGATTGTGCAGCCGAGAAGGTTAGGATGGTTACTCGAAGGCTGAGCAAGGATCAAGCCGAGTTGAGAACGTTGAGACAAGAAAAAGAAGAGGTCGAAAAATTTCTCAAGGACAAGCAAACACTGGAGGAGAACACTTTGAAGAGGCTCACTGAAATGGAGTACGCAATATCCAACGCTAGTGCCCAGATGGAGATGGCTAACTCCTCGCTTCATAGGCTCGAAGCGGAACATGCCGTGCTTCAAAAGAAGATGGAGGCTGCAAAATCGCATTCTCTCGAGTCGTCTCGAAAATCCCAGGAAGCCATGGTGAGAGAGCAGGAGGCACTGAAGAAGTGTCAAGGTGGGGAGGCCGAGAAGAGCTTATTGCAGGAAAAATTCTCAGCTCTGAAATGCGAAAGAGCTAACTTGGAGCAGCAATTAGAGAAGGCTAAGAAACGGCTAAAACAGATCGAGGTATGCTTTCATTGCAGGAATGATTGATTTCTAATTGATCGAGGCTTTAATTTGCTTTACCCTTTACTGTTTTCGTTACTGATGAAAAAGAGCGTTTTCAGGCTCTTGCAGAACAGGAAAAGAAGGAGAAAGAAGAACATGTTAGGCAGGCCAAATTCCTGCAGGGTAAACGAGAGCGACTGGGAGCTTTGGCGAAAATAGAGGAGGATAATATTAGAGAAAATGCAGAAAAAGAGATGCAGAAGTGTAAAAATGAAATCGACAAGCTTGCAAGTGAAATCTCTGTACGAATATTAGCGTCTGAAGCTTCAAAAATAGAGGCACTCCGGAGGGGCATTGGCTCGGGCTATGGTAAGTTGGGGCCTATGATGAGGGAGGGAGGTGAAAAGCGAGAACGAGAGTGCGTTATGTGTTTGACAGACGAAATTTCGGTGGTTTTCCTACCGTGTGCACATCAAGTTCTTTGCACGCAGTGCAACATTCGTCACGAGAAGCAAGGAATGAACGACTGCCCTTCTTGTCGAACGCCAATCAAGACAAGGATCAATGTGCGCTATTCTCCTTCCTAGACAAGGATCAATCCTTCTGGAGTTTAGAGGATGATCCCCATTCCATTTTCAACAGAAATACAACATTTGACATATTCATCCATTTATGTTTTTTTGGGCTTTTATTTTACGGCTAAAAGTAGAATACTTGAGAAAAGATTGAGAGAAACAAACAGACAGATACACACTAGAAAGCTATGCCCCAGTGGTGTAAGGGCAGTTGCCTTCTAGCCTTTGTAAATGATTTACCAGTCAGTCCTTCAAATTCCCTGGCAACAGTTAACAGGAAAAAACTTTTTGTTTGTGTTCTTGGAGTTATTACCAGAATAAAAACAAATAGAAATTATTTATACATGTTCTCCCGTCTTTCGTCTCTATTCTTGATTTAAGCAAGTCAGATATGAACAGCTTATGTTTATATACTTTCTTGTGATTTTTTTTACTGATTCGAGTCACAAGATGAGTTTCACGTATAAAGTTGCGGACTTTTCTGGAAATCAAGATTTCACATGCATGCATGGTTCATACAAGAGACAGGCTTGATTAATCATTGCTCTTTGCTGTCTATCTGCAGAGTATATATGACAATATCTTAGTGGAAACTGATAAGAAGAAACAGATAATCAATCATATATCATAAATATTATATATGCATGCATGCATTATTGCTAGCTCATATATATATATCTATCTTATAATGTAGATTCTCCTAAACATCCTTCAAATCATGAGCTGGAAAATATTTGTTATTAATATAGGCTTTGCCCCATCTCCAATTTTCAATTATATACTTATGTACGGATAGGGATAATAGTATCCCTGTTATGATTTGAGCTTACCCAATCTGTCTTAATATAATGCCCCACAACAATCATTATTATTTGGTTTATCTCCAACCCGTGTTAGGCATACAAGAGCATATTCTCCAACCTTATAGTTACATTAACAACACCTATAAGTTGTAATTTATTAACTGTTCCGAATTGCTGAATTGAATATCATATTAACAGTTTGTTTATTAATTATACCAAGCTGCTAGATTGAATAGCATAAATAAAGAGTCAATTTCTTAACCTTGTAGTTACATTAGCCATTTGTTTATCTTGAAAAACAACAAATTAGTGAAGAAATATATTAAATTTATTATTTTATCTAATAATATATCTGTTTATTCTGAGTAACAAGCAAGATTCTTGAAATGCTGCATGCATGCATCCATGCAGCAACCAATTAAACATTGGAGTAGGTAAATGTGTTGTGGCAATGGATGCGAATAATGTTAATATTTTAGGAATTGAATTAAGGTGGTCCTGTGTTCTTGGCTGGCTGTTTTAGTTTACACCTTCATTCTGAAACAGGCTAAGCTCATATGGGCTCATCCTGTTTCAATTCTGTGTTTCATGGCCATTAATGTATAGGATCGCATATCAGTTTGATTAGACAGAATATATATATATATATATTCTCTGGAGGTTGTGGTTGAATGGAAGGGATTCATCCATCCTTAACCAAAGGTCAATGGTACGGCTTTTAGAATAGAACTGCCTTAAATTTCCAGGCTAGCTGTCTCACACAAAAGAGGTGCCTACAATTCAGCTAGGGACCAAAAGAGGTGCATACAATTCAACGAGTGACCAAAAGAGGTGCCTACAATTCAGCAAGGAAATTAATTAGTCACTTGTTCGACGGTGAAAACCTGGATATACCCATATATATATATATATATATATATATATATATATATATATATATATATATATATATATAATTTGGTCATTAAATATAATGCTAAATGTATCATATATGTGGCTTTAATTTACTTTATTTATGTATGGTGACTTACAAAGTCAAACAAAAGGAAATAATATAATATAATATAATATATAATATATGCTGAAACAAGAAATATTTTACTAATTTATATAATATTAACTAAGTTTATAATATAAGGCTAATGGGTGCATTAGAGTGGCCTCCAACGAACAAAAAAAATTATATTTGAATTCAACCTTTTATAATTAGTCTTATACAAATCTCCACACCCAAAAGAGAAATAAGTAAATAAACTAATAAACATTACCCCACTTGTAATATTTCATATTTGGAATGGTATTTGACTCAACGCCATTTTCGCCAGCCCTTCCTGTCAAATTGGACCGTAATACAAAATTGGCTACAAAAATTGACTGTTCAACTGTATCATGTGTATACCCTAGCTGCGTTTATAGGCTGTTGGACTTCACACTTTTGTATTATTTGGAACTTGGAACACATGAATCTTCTGATTATTTTTGGTTTTATTATTCTTATTGTATTTTAGTTTCCATAATCACTAAATATGCTATTGGTTAAGATGCGTATAAATAGTATACATAATTTATATAAGTAACCGGTTATTATATAATGGTCCGGTCCAACGACTCAAGACAATAAATCAGATTGTGTGAATAGAAGCCCAATTCACCAGAGGAAGAAATAAAATAGTCGTGTTCGGGACATAGTTCACCTAGATCGTGACGTTAGTCTAAAAAATTGAAGTAACACAAAGTTGAGTTGTATTTTTTGTTCCGTTTCGTACTTAGACACAAAACGCCGCTTTAATTTTCTCACTTGATAATTATAAGACAAATATAGCATAACATATACCCATACACGAAACTCAATTAATACAACGCGTATTGTATTTTCTTTTAATTAGTGGGTACAAAGTAATGAAGTATACATGCTAATTAATGTATCCATATTATGTATATTAACAAGATAAGTCTATGTCAAGATTATTTTATATGTATATTAAGTGACAAAGTTTGCACGCTAAGTCGCTAACAAGAGAACACCGCATTACATTTATAAAGATATATATTTAACACATGAAATTTAACCTCTTTTGATTTACGTGAAATTGTGAAAGATCGGTCATAATCGCTATGTTTGGAGTAAAGTATTTTGTAATTTTAGTTAATAAATTAAAGGACTTTAACTTATTTAGGTTGTCCATAGCTGATCGATTCAAATTAAAAAAATTCAATACACATCTTTTATGAGGTGCTGATGATTGATGAACTTAAAATTTATGGTTATCGAGTTAATTATTCGAGTAGCTTAGGTGTGGGTTTGAAGAAATGAAATGAAATGAAATTTAAGGTTGTTTAATTTATAAACATGGGAGTTATGTTCGGCGTGATTCAGGTGACGTGGCGTTCCCAACAAGATTCGTCTTCGCTGTTTGTGATTGCTTGGGTTAGTTTGCATGGACTGTGGAGACTGAGATCATGGAGTGGTTGAATGTCCCCTTTAATTTAATTTCTTTTTAATTATTATATTTAAGCTATCTATAACACCTCAAAACCCGCCGGCCTCGATCGCCGCCATCCAATAAGCCGGCCTCCATGCTCCGCCTGCTGCATGCCGCCTGCTGTACGTGTACGTGTACGTGGTGCCATATATATATATATATATATATATATATATATATATATATATACTAATTCAAACACATACAGGTTTTCGGAACGAATTTATCATTAGATATATAAAAATACATGTTTGAAAATGTATCATAATCCCACACCGAAAATGTGCACCGCATTGCACCACACCTAACGCTGTATTTATGTGTACCTAATGATGAGTGATCGCACGACCGCACGAGAAACACTATACTTATATATATATATATATATATATATATATATATATATATATGTGTGTGTGTGTGTGTGTGTGTTAATTATTAGTTTATTGCACAGGGACTAAATATCCACAGCCATTAGCTTAGCTGTTACAAGTCTTTACAGAGATGCATGGCACAGTTTCATGATGAGTTGATTGAGTTTCTGATTTATTTATTTTATTTTATTTTTTAAGTTTAGACGGTTAAAGAAATTGTAGTCACTATATAAGAATGTGAATTAGATAAATTTGCTTAGCACATTCTATATATTTGATTATGTAATAAAACTTTAATAATGAAAAAAGAGAGTATAGTATAGGAATTTGATAATTTGGTTTTAAAAGATTAGCCGAATTTAAAAGTAATTCAACTCAATAATTTGAGATAATTAATAAGAGAATTTTTTATAATGCTAAAGTATTAAGATTCATAAGAGATGCAACCACTAAAATAATAATGACCTAAAATTTTATTGACATCCATAAAATCGAAACACATAAATTGTGTATTTTCGCACTAATTTACCAAACATCTTTTCTATAATCAGTTAATGATATCAGCTAGTCAAACTCAGTAACCCAATCAATTAATAACTATCGATTAAACTATTTACTAAACATCCACATTATCTTTAAATATATAATTGTATTAATAGTTTACTTACCGATTCTATTTCCGGAAACATCCTTTTTCTTCAGTAAATAAATCCTGTTTTGCCGGTTTGATTCATCATTGGCTAATCCTTTTCATTCAAGCTGACAAACAAGTACAGAAAGTAAGTTGCAGTGTCTGAGCGTGACAACACAACACTGCGCCTAAAAAACCTCTAAAAACCTTAAAATTCTCATGTCATCTCTCTCAAGATGAACAAAAGGCCGCAACTTTCTTGAATTGGCAAGCTAAAAGTTGATTTCCTCATTTCCCGGCCCCAAAATGTTCAGAATCCTCACCGGGAAGCTGAGCCGCCTGTACCGAGGTTTCCGGTGGCGTCTCAGCCGTCGTTCCAAGCCCGAGGACTCCGAGGTTGTCGGGAAAACGAATCCTCCAAAGGCTTACGTTAGCACAAACGAAGCGTCCATTCATCCGAGTGGCGGCGGCGGGGAACTGGGAAAGCCCATTCGCGTGGCGACGTTCAACGCCGGCCTTTTTTCCATGGCGCCGGCGGTCCCCAAGGCGACGAAATCCGCCAGCTTCGACTTGGGCGACGAGGATTTCAGACAGGATAATCATATCCACGTCAGAGCTAAATCCATGGATCATCGTCCCAAAAGCATCCTTAAACAGTCTCCCCTCCACCCAAACGCTAATCTCTCCGAGCAGCAGAGGTTTCCCAAGTCGAAACTGCGGGTGTCGATAAACCTGCCGGACAACGAGATTTCCCTGAAGAAAAGCGGGCAGTTGCAGTTCACTAATACCTTTCTTGACGACGAGGGGGACGGCCGGGGAAAGTCCCCTCTGAGATCATCATCCAGCCTGAACTTCTCCTCCTCGTCGGCCGGCCGGAGTTACAGAAGTACGAGGACGGTGGTCGAGGTTCTGCGGGAACTGAACGCGGATGTTCTGGCGCTGCAAGACGTGAAGGCGGAGGAGGAGAGAGAGATGAAGCCGCTGTCGGATTTGGCCGCCGGGCTGGGAATGAAATACGCATTTGCAGAGAGCTGGGCGCCGGAGTACGGGAACGCTATCCTCTCCAAATGGCCGATTAAGAGCTGTAAAGTCCAGAAAATCTTTGACGATTCCGATTTCAGGTAATTATATTCTTGATTGAATTATGCAATCTTTATTGTGTGTATAATTACGGTCTGGGTAATTGGAAATTATTACTGCAGAAATGTGATGAAGGCCACCATTGATGTCCCGGAAGTAGGAGAAATCAACTTCTTCTGCACTCTCTTAGATCATCTTGACGAAAACTGGAGAATGAAGCAGATTAATGCCATTATTCAATCATCTGACACGCCCCATATCCTAGCAGGAGGACTGAATTCCCTAGACGAAGCAGATTACTCCCCTCAGAGATGGGCAGAGATTGTCAAGGCAAGTCCTCAAAGTTTTAGTAGTTCAAGTTTCTTGTGTCCTAGACATCCCGCTAAGTTGGTCAGAAGTTACAAGTTCGATCTTAATGACCTTTTTTTGCTTGCTAAGTTGGTCAGAAGTTACAAGTTCGATCTTAATGACCATTTTTTGTTTGAGCCAATCAGTTATGGGTGACTTAAGATTATTTACCTGATCACTTGTCGCTTAGGGTCAAGGGTCACTAAGCGGGATTCTCTTGGGTCCTTTGTCAATTAATGTTACAAAATCAGATTTATCTCGTAGTGACAGATTATTACGATGTCTATAAAACACATTTTTCAATTTGATTAATGGGTTTTTTTATTTTGAGTTCTTGACAGTACTATGAAGAGATGGGGAAGCCAACACCAAAGGTTGAGGTGATGAAGTACTTAAAGAGCAAGCAGTACTGTGATGCCAAGGATTTTGGGGGTGAATGCGAGTCAGTGGTCATGATTGCCAAGGGACAATGTAAGAAAATCGCTTTCAAAATTCTGTCTCAACTAAAAATTTAAACTGATAATAAAAACGAAACATTTATTTATTGATGTAGGTGTGCAGGGAACATGCAAGTATGGAACTCGGGTTGATTACATAGTGTCATCCCCAGATTCAGTGTACAAATTTGTGCCCGGATCATACTCGGTTTTGTCGTCAAAAGGAACCTCGGACCACCACATAGTAAAAGTCGATGTGGTTAAGGCTGTAGGCGGCAGTGGTTGTCATCATCGGCGAAGGATTGATAGAAAGAAACAACAAAAGAAGAGAATTGTCAAGAAGATTACAAACTCAAATTTGTCTATGGGTATACGAAAAACACAAAGATGATGCGTACATATGCTAAAGTACTTTAACAATTGTTTTCCTCTATTATCCTTGTTATTGTTATTCCCGAACTTTACCTTGTAACTAACTGAGTTGTCTAGCTTTCTACTGCTATCCGATGAAAGGCCAAGATTTAAAGCAAAGACCATTTACTTTAGCTAGCTAATTAAACCCGCAAGTCCATAACTGTGCCTTTTTAGTTTTGAATTTTATTAAAATGGTGAGATTGTAGTACGATGTATTTTACAATTATGTTATTGTATATTTATAACTAATTATTTATTTATTACCTTTTCAAATCGAATCAATCTTTCAAACAAATAAGCACACTTTATTACTTTAATACATATTGACTGAATCATAAAATTGGTTCAGTGCAGTAGATAAAAAGTCTAAATTAAAATTTAGTATCTGGAATAAGTGAACGGTTCAATTCTTCTCACTAAAATTAAATATTATTGAATTTTTGTGTACATAAAAATATAATTTAGTATTAAATTGCGAAACTAAATTAATAGATAAATCATAAAAAAATCACCTAGTCATGTCAACTTATCCATATATATTTTTATAGATAGATTTTACCGACATTAAGATTTAAGATCCGGCACCTTGCAAGAAGGTCAACGGTCAACTATTTCTTGTAAAACACTACAGCGGGAAAGTCGAGAATATAGAAAGAGGATCTGATCGGAGCAGATCGTTCTCTCTTAGTCAGAGTGATTCCGACGTCGGAAGATGACGGCGGGCGGCGGCGAGATCATCAAGAAGCTGGAAGACACCACCAGGGACGCTGCCAGACACCAGTCGGAGACTCTCCGGTACATTCTCCAACACAACGGTGGCGTAAGTTATCTCCGGCGATATCTAGGCAGCTACAATGAGCCGGTCGACGCCGATACTTTCCGGTCAGCTGTGCCGTTGTCGCGCTACGAAGACTACGCTGATTACATCAATAAAATGGCCGACGGCGTCCTCGCCGACGAAAATGACGGCGGCCGCCCCCTCCTCTCCGTTGACCCTCTCACCTGCTTTTTCTATAGGTAATACGGAGTAATAAATTAAGCTCATATTGCTTAGCTGTAGTTTTGAGGTTTAATAATATTTTCCATTTTTGTAGCTCGGGGACAAGTTCAATGAAACCAAAGTTAATTCCCTATTTTGATTCAAAGCCTGCAAAAGAGATATCGGCCATGGCTCATCAAGGCAGCTTTGCAAATGTAGGCAGGTATTATCACTTCCTTTAACAAGAACAAGAAACAATAATAATGACAGAAGGATAAAGAAGACAATATTTACGTGGTTCTGTAATATGCCTACGTCCATCTGAGTGAAACAATTCATTAATACATAGCGATGGTGATAATGGTGATACAACCAATATATTTATAGGCATCTGTTTCACTCCTATCTTAGTATGAGACAAACTCATATTCTTAATCCATATATGAGACAATCTCAACAAATGTCTTCCAACCAATGAGTTTTATGCTTAACCTTAAACGCAACGAACACCGCAGGTTGTTTCCCCCGAGGCCATCCGCGAATAAAGCGCTGTGGTTTCTCTATGCTGGCAATGTTGCAGAGACTAAAGGTGGATACAAGGCCATGGCTGCAACTTCATCTCCTCTGCACAATGATCCCAAAGGCTCGAGTTCGTCACGATTACTATCGGCCTGCGTTAGTCCCCGAGAAGTGATTTTAGGCACAGATGTTGAGCAGCAAATGTACTGTCATCTTCTGTGTGGGCTCAGGAACTCTGATCTGATTCACTCCATTAGAGCGCCTTACGCTTCTGGCTTAGCTAGAGCCTTTCGCCTTCTGGAGGCGAAATGGGAGAGAATCTGTGAGGATCTTGAAAATGGCTTCCCTGCTGCAGAGATCATCACTGATGCTGTAATGAGGGAATCTGTTTCAGAGATTCTCTCTGGACCGAGACCGGATCTTTCTAACAAGTTTCGGGCGATTCTTCGAGAGAAGTCGTGGGAGGGGATAGTGAGGAAGCTGTGGCCTAATGTTGGCTATGTCAGGTGTATAACCACAGGAACCATGTTTCAGTACTATGAAAAACTAAGATTTTATGCTCGAGATGTGCCAATTCTCGGAGGGGATTACTTTTCATCGGAGTGTAGTATTGCTTTGAACTTCGATGTGTTGCAGCCTCCCGAGCTGACCCGATACACCATGATCCCGAGTGCAGCCTATTTCGAGTTTCTGCCATTCGATATGGACAGGTGTTGTTGCAGTGGGAGTCGCACACTGGACCTTTCGAGTGTTCGAGTGGGGGAATTTTATGAACTGATAGTGACAACTTATAGGGGGTTTTATAGATACCGTTTGGGCGATATTGTGAAGGTAGTAGGCCACTATAATTCGTCTCCCCAGGTCGAGTTTGTGATGAGAGCTCCCAAAACTTCCGGGGATATAGTCACAGAACGAGATCTCATGTCTGCCATGGGAGGCTTTCGGGTAGTGGCGAGAGATGTTATGTTGTCAGCAGAAGTCACAGATTTTACGAGTTTTTTTGATTTGGAAGCAGAGCCAAACCGGTTGAAGATCTTCTTGGAGTTGAAAGATGGTTGTGCTCAATCGGAGGTGGAAATGATTCGAACGAAGCTCAGAAAGTGTTGCAGTCGCCTCGAGGATGACTTGGGAGGGATTTATAAGGTGATGAAGGCGAGAGGCGAAGTTAGTAGTTTACTGGTATCGATTGTCCAGCCCGGGAGCTTCGATAGCTTGCTGGAAATGGCTGTGGAGAAGGGGGTGCCAGCCACTCAATATAAACCTCCAAAGATATTGAGAGACTGTAAATTGGTGGAGTTCTTGGAAATGTCTGCTATCCTGACAATAACAGCAGATTCTTAAATTCTTTCGAGTTTAAAACCTAGTATGTATGTTGTGTCTGTCTCAGATTGTTCAAATGAAACTTAACAGATTCTCTGTTATTTCTCGTGCTGTCGTTCATCAGCAACAATAGAAATGGTTACATACAACAAATAAAATGATTTTACACTTCCTGTGATCTGCCTAGAACGATATCGAAAAACTTCTCCTGCTACAGCATCCATCTTGCCTCGAATTTTTGTGTCTTCTGGTACGAGATTATGCATTGATGGTAGCCTGTATTTGTTCCAAAGTTCTCCCTTTGGTTTCAGGCACTACCTTGATCACAAACAAGATCGCAAGCACGTTGATCGTTGCGTAGAGAATGAAAGTGCCTACAACCATTAAAAGATTGGACGGCTGTAAGTCAAGCACGTTTAACCACAGAGTTCTTTGGCTATCTGGTTGCCATATCCTACTTAAAACCAATTGGTGATAAGTAGTGGACATTAATCATTTAACCACATCCTCCATTGTAAACCACAACGCTACGTCTCGAATCGAGTAGGGACTGAACTCGGCCAACCTGGCCTTGGCGCCCAACAGGGTTCATAGAGGACACGAAAATCGACATTTCTTACCGAATGAGTTCCAGGCCATGAGGAAATTGAAAGTGTAGGAACATAACCATGCCCCAAACCAGTTCACTAGTGTTGCAAAGCTTCCTGCAACCCCTTTGACATTTATAGGGAAAATCTGGGAAAAATCGTGACAGATTAGAGGCGCATCGGGCATGTAAATGTAAGGTAAATCTCAGTTTTACATGCATATATACCTCGGACATAATAACCCATGGAACTGCTCCCATTCCTACTGAAAATGACCCTATATACACCATTATGCCTGTTACAGCAAGTACAGGTGCTGCATTGCCTGCAATGTTAAGTCCCTGATCCAAAAAACGATTTTTTTTTCATCATCGTCTTTGTAGAAGCTAAGAAATGAGTGTAAGAAAAGCGCGTTCTTGGGTTAACATTAACCTTAAGATAGTACGAGACGCCTGTTAATATACAGCCGAGAGCAAGTCCTGATGCAGAAACCTGCAGAGATAAAAAAAAACGCCAAGAAGGTTTAGCCTTAAATTTTGTGAAGATTATAGTTAATGGTGTCCTTTAGCTGTACCACTAAAAGAGGTTTTCTTCCAGCTTTGTCTATTAAGGTTGCCCCTACTGCTGTCACTATAACCTGTCGAAAACGAAAACCACAAAAATAATCCATATGATGGGGGAAAAGATCGACATTGAAGTTTCAGATATCATTTCCATTGTGAAATTTGAAACCTGAAGAATTGCATAGATTATAGTCCCGATATCCGAAGGAAATCCTGGAAATCAACAAAGTATGTGTTGAGATTAACGAGAACAGTAAATAATAATAATGACAGAAAAGTAAAGAAGACAAGATTTACGTGGTTCCTTGTATGAGACAAACTCATATTCTTAATCCATATATGAGACAAACACAACAGTATGTTAGATTTTGGTCTAAAGTGTTTTGTTGAGGTCATGAACAAGAAGTTGCAGACCTGCAGACTCGAATATACTGCTGGTGTAGAAACAGATTCCATTAATTCCGCCAAGTTGCTGGCATATCATCAGTCCAACCCCAATCTGGCAACGAATCGAGTAAACTATAAGAAGAATCAATTAACCATGATGACATTAAAACAACGACGAGAGAGAGAGAGAGAGAGAGAGTTCTTTACAAAGATAGAACGCGAGTATCTTTTCTGAAACAAATCGAATAGTTTCGCCTTTGGGAGCTTTTCAAGCATTTCTACATAATCCTGGATTTCAGCTGCCTCTTCTGATATATCTGCATTTTTCCCACGAAGCTTTTGCAGTGCAACTTCAAACTCTTTCCCGTGCCCAATCTTTGCCTGCATGTTTTAACATTATATGAGTGAAGTCCTATGTGGTCTCGAGTTTCATCGTTCGAGAAAAAAAATCGTGTCTGCCTTTCTCACCAGCCATCTAGGAGACTCGGGAATGATGCAGAGGCCCAAAACAAGAACAACACATGGAACTATTCCTGAAAGACAGTAGAAAGGTGAGCCTCGAAACGTTACTTCTTTTACCTATTTCCCTTCGGTTTCCTTTTCTGTTACCTGTTAGTGCCAAAGTCCTCCATGTCACCATTGTTCCGATCACGAAGGCCACTGACACTCCAGTGACTATCATAAGCTGTAGAGTAAGTATGAGCATAACATCATGGCATGATACAGAACACCAAAAAAATGGAAACTTTTTCCTTAAAATGTCACAAGAAATGTCAAAATCTGCTAAAAATGTTGTCTTTTGTCCTTTCCAGGTCTGTTTCACTCACCTGGTTTAAGGTTGTCAGAGCTCCTCGCAATTCTTTGGGCGCGATTTCAGCTATAAAGACAGGTACCTGATTCATGTTTTTCATAAGAAAACAAAAAACAAAACATCAATCTTAGGATTGAGTTGCTGGTTTTTGAATGGTTTTGGTTGTAATGGAGACCATACCACATAAGAAAAGACTCCCATTCCATATCCTGTTGCCAGTCTTCCAATATCCATCACCAAAGCCCCCTTCAAAAGAGTAAATATAGTTCAGTTTTCTGCGTTTTCTTGCTGTGAACAGAAAATTCGATCTAGTGAGTTTGAATTTGAATGCCAAACCTTAGCAAAAAAAATGGCAAGCCATCCTGCTAGACAGAAAACACTAGACATTCTCATTGCCTGTCAGATTTTCGTGTGATCGAAACTACCCAGATCAGAATTCGATAAAAGAAATTATGATGAGGGCGTTTACTAACTGGAGAAATGAATTTACCCCTTTTCGACCCACGAAATCAGCTATAGGACCACTTGTGATTGCTCCCGCCATTGCACCAAATGTTAGTATGGAGCCGAACAGCGAGTACTGCATAGAAACATGTAATTGGCATTTTTTTTTGCTTCTAAGGAATGAAATCTCTGCTTACTACTTAAGAACCAGACAATTCAATAATGTTCATCATAAACCTTAATACTATGATAATGCTGAAATGGTAATATATGTATCTGTGTTCAACATTCACATGGTCAAGTTAACATTTGTCTTTTTTTCAGTGACAAGGAAAATCCCCAGTGTACAGGACCCTAACTGGCAAAGGACCATGACAACATAAACCAGCCTAGGTTGTCCATAACTAATTAGCTCAAACCAAAAAGCTCAATAGCTCACCCTACCAAGAATCGAACTTATAACCCTGTGATTATCAAATTAACAATCTCACTAACTCGACGTTAAGTCTTTTTAAGGTAGCAGATATTGTTTTCTTTTGTCAGAGCACGAGTTGTTCTGAGCAGACCCTAACTGTAGGGTTAGGCACCTTTAAGCCAGATTAATCTCGGTTCACACCGGCCTGGCCTAATTAAGGGGCAAAGTGCTAACCAGATTGATTTTTTATACGAGAAAGGGTTCGAACTCCCGACCCAAGAGTGCACGGCCACTGACGCCTATTGTTTGAGTGTTGTTAAGTTTTCACTGACCTCTGCAATGGAGAAGTTGAGATCTTGGCTGATTGCAGACTGAGTCGGGGATGAATAACCGGCCTGAAAATCAAGAACACCCAGAGATTATAAATGCAGTCTTTATTATCAGGGAAAGAAAATGTAAAACTATGGAAACTAAACTTACACAAGATCCAAATGCACACGACCCGCAGACAGCAACAAATGTGCTGAGGTAAACCATCCATCTATCGGTCTTGCTGTCATCTTCTTTTCCGATAAGCGGCGCCGCCATCCCCGCCGTGGATCCTTCATTCTTTCCGTTCTCTATGTCTTGTCCGGCCGCCATTTTTCTCGTTATAATTAGCTTAATTGTACGCAGAAGACCAAGAAAGACACTTTAACACGTACTAAATATTCCCGCAGCTGGCTTCTGCCTTGATGTCGTGTGTGTATATATATATGTATATAATATAATTACATGATCTGCTGGCAAGATTTCATTAGTAATAATCTCCAGTCTCCATTGATGTTACGTTTCGTACATTCTGATCTTATTTATCAACTTCAACCATATTAGATTTTCTAGAAAATAAATCCAAAACTTTATCCAAAAACACGTTTATCTGACCAATTTATATTGGATAAACTTTTGACTTTTAAAAATAAATAAATAAATAAATAAAGAGTATATAATTTTCTTAAAGGTCATCAAAATATAAAATACAAAGCTGTAGAGTTAATATTATATTAAAAAATGTAGTTGATAATTTCGGTAATAATTATGGTATCATTTTTTTTTTAAAGCCGTTATGGTATCATTAATAATTGTTAAAGTAAAATTTTTAGATATGGTGAATGATTGAATACAATTAAGGAAACATTATTTTGAATTAAATATACTAATGAAAGTTTAACGGTGTAAGAATAATATTGTTGAATAAAAATAATATAATAATAATCTAATGTTTGTAGCACAATATACAATTCAATAAGTATAGAAATACGGACATATAAGTTTAATATATATAGGCTACTATTCAAGTTTATTTACATATTCTTGTAAGTCTCATGAGACCCTTCGTAAATGCATACAAGCTACTATATGAATGCACACAGGGTAAATTGTGTGCATTCAAACTGGACGAATTGCATACAATCTAGTGTTTGTACATTCGTGTAGTAATTTTTGTGTATTTATGAAGGATCTCACGAGACTTATGGGATCGGAAGATGCGTGGTCTCATTTGATTATTAATATATATATATATATATATATATATATATATATATATATATATATATATATATATAGGCTATCTTTCTGGTGCAAACCATTATTAACATGTAAACTAGTGAACCAATATGGTGCGTTGATGTATTAGATCGTAGGGCACAAAATCACCAGCGCACCACATCCCCTGCACCACGTAACACGGGAGAAGAACCACAGTGTTCTTACGTAACAAAACTTCTCCCTCCCATTACACTGGCATTCGAATTCCAGTTTGACATCGCATCTTCCGCTAATGTATCGCGAGAGTTGCGGCCCAGACGTATCACCCGTGTGCGAATGACGAAGGATGACGACAAGCGACTCCGATGCCGGCGACTTAACAGGTCCGTATGTAAATTTACCCAGGTGCATGGCTACCAACGCTGGTTTTTTTTTCCCGTAACAGCCCTCCCGTACGTATTTGTGCAGATGGCGTAGAGATGATACCGGACACAGTGTCCGAACCCGGCATTGCTATGGGTTTAACAGCCACCGACCAACCACAATGGACCCCGATCGTGGACGCTTCCATCCGGCCAACGCCGGGACGAGACACGAAGTCTGTAGTGACTTCTTCTATGAATACGATCTGGATGAAGAAAACCGGGTATCGCGACTATTCTGGGCTGACCCCCTCAGTAGGCGGAAATTTTATTGCTATGGCGGTCATATTTCGTTCGATGCAACCTACGACACAAACAGGTATGGTGCTACAATTTGGTTCCCAATCCCCCTTGTTTAAATTGGTGTGAGACCAATACATTACTACTCTATGCACTACACACGGATTATATAAAAAAGAGTATACTACATGATGCCTAGCTTTATACTATTCTATCCACTGCACACGAATAATATAGAGTACATGTTAACTAGTCTAATCTAAATGCATTAAATGGAGCTTAATTGCCCATGACGCAGTGATTAATTGGTAAATTACATGATCTTGGTCAACTGTGTTGTTTAGAAGCTAACTTTGATATGATGCAATGATAAGGCAGTGATGAAACTTCTACATGCGCATGCACGTTTAGTTGTTTTTTTGTTTTGTTTTGTTTTGTTTTTTTTTGGAGGATTTGATTATTCAGACTTCATTGCAGCTTGAACAATAAATTGCTTGTTTCCCCGTAGGATGCATCCTTTCTATATATGGGAAGGTTACTGGAAGGTTTTGGTGTGGGAATTATTTCTTATGTGGAAATTTCACAGCTATTAGTACTGCATACATGATATTTTTATGTTCTGTTTGTTGGACATGTCGCGCATCCCTACTTATTGTGCAGGTATAGTATGGTGTTCGTGCCGTTCACTGGTGTGGACAACCATAAACGATGCATCACATTCGGGGCCGGTTTGCTGACTAAGGAAGATGCTGACTCATACAGCTGGTTGTTGGAGAAATTTTTAAGTGCAATGGGCAAGAAGCCATTATGCGTTGTGACCGACCAAGTAGCTTGATGGCAAATATGGAGTCTATTTACACTATTTTTTTTATTCCGTTTTCTTTATGTAATTCGTTTACTCCATTTAAATAGCATTGGTACTTTAAACCCCTCTTAGTTATGGTTAAATTCCCTACACTGTTGTTAAGATTTTGCATGTATTAAATATTAGAGAGTACAGCTGACTACCCCGATGCATTTTACCCCCTTGGTAAGATGACAAGAATTATGTGATGGCAAAGTGTCATTCATTTAATCAATATATGTAGTAGACGCAGAGATTTATTTCAATGGAGATGAAGAGAGGATCTGAAACAATAAAGATTACAGATGACATGTTTACTCAATGCAATTATACTAGTGCATAATTGTGTTCTTTGATTGAATGTCCTCTAAACACTAATAAAACGAACTATCATTTGAATTTAAGCTAATATTTGAATTTACAAGCTGTGCACTGCCTTTGGTTGCTAATGGTATGGATGTAATGCATATTGCAAATGGTAAGACTGTAATGCATATCAAAGTTTGGTAGTGCACCTATGGTAAGAGCCCACATAACGCCCTAACTGTAATCCTCCCCCTCCGTTGCTCCACCACGTCCCTCCATTCCCGGAACTCCGGGCTAACCACCTGGCTATCCCGTTCAGAGATCGGTATTGGCCCACACAGCAGGCCAAAGACGGCAGCGACATCCTCCTTGGTGACTGGAATGTACCGACCATTCCCCAGGTCAATCCGCATCTTAGCCGGGTCAAAATGGGTGACCAACCAATGCCCCAACCGCAACGGTACCTCAGTAATCTTAAACCCCAGCAACGCACCAAGGCCAATTGCTATAACATCCTCCATTTGCAACGTGGTTAGGGTTCCCATAAAGTTGGCAAGGTCCTTCGGCGTCCCCCGTGGGTTGATTTGACTTGCAATGGAACGCTGCACACGCGGTGCCTCCATCTCCACATCCTCATCCAACACCAGCGGCGGAGTATGGAAAACGTCATCCTCCCCACTTTCACCATCACTTAGGTGGACTGGGTGCTTGTCATTATAGCATGTACACAAAAATGAGAACCCGTGAGCACCACAAGAGACTATATCCAAACATTCAAACAATGACTGGAAACAGACTAACGAATAAAATGTAGAGCTTTATACGATTCTATGCACTGCACACGGATTGGTATAGAATCACATCCATTTAGTCTAGGTACTGTCAATTAAATAAATTATGTTAGTGGTTCTAATCTGCCCTACTCAGATTTTGAATGTAGCACACTAATTATCATACACCACAATTTACTTAATAGTAAACTTTTTAATTTTTAATCCAGAAAATATAAAATAGAGTATAAGACAAAATTTAATGTACTCTAGATACACTTTTTGGAGCTTCATCGCCCATATAATACATAAGAAAAATATATGCAATTAATCCCTATTAAATGTAAATTTACAACAGAAATGCAATTAATCTTAATGTATTCAACTAAGCTCATGAATCAGTACTTTGAATACAGTTAAAAAAAAAAAAACAATTACACTCCAGTAAATGAAAATATATTAGAGAAGTGCAAACCTAATAATTATTACACCACTGTTTCACTATACACTATGATTGAAATTGAAAACAAATAGCAAACCTTAAATTAAGGAAACGACACAGTAGAACCAATTAAGGAAACAGATAGCAAATCCTCATGCACTTCTAGCTAATTACGAAGGAAATAGACTAGCGAATAAAATGCAGAGCTTTATACGATTCTATGCACTGCACACGGATTGATATAGAATCACATCCATTTAGTCTATGTCCTGTCAATTATATAGATTATGTTAGTGGTTCTAATATGCTCTACTCAGATTTTGAATGCAGCACACTAACTATCATACACCACAATTTACTTAATAGTAAACTTTTTAATTTTTAATCCAGAAAATATAAAATAGAGTATACACAATTTACACAGATTATGTTAGCTAATTACGAAGGAAACAGATAGCAAATCTAAAGACACCCCAGCTAATTAAGAAGGAAACATTAACTATATCATTGTAAGACAAATTTGATGCACAAACAGAATTTTAGACTAAACAAATTTGGTCCAGACTACTAAGATTATATACCAACAACAGCCTGTGAGAGTACTTCAAGATTTAAACACCGAACACCATGTAATGCAAATGCACACCCCAACCAGATTATTACACCAGACCACACACCCCCCAAAAAACCGTATAACCCTCCCAATTTTGAAAAATTAAAAAGGACTCACCTTTCTGCCCCAATCGCCGCGCCACCCTCCTCCGTGCCGCCACTCTGGACGCTACCCCCGACGCCGCCCAGTCGAACCCACCGTGATGACCGCCGTTCGAACGGGAGCTGGTAAGCCGGCGACGGGTACGCTGTTTGAATGACCGCGATGCTGACGGAGAAGCCAACAGTGGCAACTGACGCCCGGACCTACCACGCTTCGACCGGCGACTACAACCACTAGACCGGGCCTTGCAACCTGTTCCAATCGCCTGAACACTAGAATTGAGGCGAAGTTTCAAACGAGCTCGAAAGACGCAGCGAGTTGAGAAGTGGTCTGAGCGGAAGAGTCGAAGATGAATTAAAACACCCATTCCACGGGCTTCGATCCAGTACGAGGCGGCACATAATGGGCCGTGCACCCTCATTAGCGTACGTTGATCATAACAAGATGAACGGATGGTAGCGGTTCACAAGTTCACATATAACCCACAGTTCACACCTGAACAGCACTCTATATATATATATATATATATATATATATATATATATATATATATATATATATATATATATATATATTGGATTTTTTTTTTGAAAAATATATATATTGGATTTAGGTTACCTAAGTATGTAGGCAAAGAAATACATGGGAGGATAAAATGTTTTCATCTAGATAAGATAAACTTAACCAAAATAAATGTCTTTAATTTTGATTTAGGATATGACCATAGTAATGGAGTTAGATTCTTATTCATCATAATTGCGAGTGGTAGCTAATTTGGAGATGTATTTGGACATTTTAAATGTATATATTAGATAATGATATGAGTCAGATGCATTTGTAATATCATATCGATCATATATTTATTTATTTAAATATGTGCAATCAATAAATTATATTCTTGTGTAATAGTTTACATCATAAATTATAAATGATAGATAAATCGTAAGGGGGTGTTTGGTTGGGTTTCTTAAAAGTGAAGGAAAATGATGTTTTATGTTGTTTGGTTGGATGGAAAACATTTTCCACTCGAAAATGTTTTCCTTGAGAATGAGGAAAACAAATTCTTAGCTAGGTATTTTATTTTCCATGAGAAACTAATATGACAATTTTACCCTCATCATTTTTTATTAATTACTCTTATTATTATTATATTATTATTGTTGTGTAGGGTTATATTTGTCATTGTAAGCATTATTCTTTACCATTCCAAACTCAACCAAACAATGGAACTCATATTTCCAGTAATTTCTTTTCCATCAACCAAACAATGAAATCTATTTTTTAAAAATTTTAATTTCATTTCCCTTCAAATATTTTTCAGCGAATCTAACGAGCTATAATAGATCAGCAAATGAAATAATATGAATTCGGTTAAGGTCGCTGTGGGGTAGTTGTTAGCTTGGTCATGCAATTTGCAATATAATGTACGTAACGATGCACGTTTACAGGCTGGAAAACTGGAGTCGTTTGGGAAGTGTGTACACAGTGTTGTACTAGGGATAGGGATAGCTCCAACACCAATGTTGATAGGTGCAAAACACAGACAATAATTCATTCGTACGTTCAACCAAACAACCTAATTAAGGTGGTACAATTTGTTTCTCCCATGTGATACTTACGCTGTCCACGTTAACTAACTGCAGTTTTAATTATCCATGTGGGGTGGCGGCTAGCTTCCAATCATTTACTGGCCGAGGAATTCTTGGGAACTACTAACTCTATAATAATGTAATATTTGTTTATAGCTATTTTGTTAATTTACTGAAACATAAAGACTTAATACTATTATTGAGATTCAAACTCGTAATCTCTCATTTAGAAGAGTCACTTCATGCCACTAGACCACAAAATTATTGATATGGACAGATCAGAAGAATTCTACCCAAGAGAATGTTGGAAGACAAAATTTAGTTACAAGTTAAAAAAAAAAAAAATTACACAAAATACACAACAAGCAGTTGGATGGCAAATAAAAAAAGTAAACCCAGTTACGCAAGTTCTAGATCAAACAGTAAACAAAATAAACAAAAAAAATATATGGAACAAAATAAACAAAAAATATATATGACTCGAACAATTTGTTTTTAAAACCAAATAAATGAAAAGAGGCAAAACGAACCGTAAACAAACAAAAAAATAAAAAAATAAGAACAACATTTAAAAAAAAAAAAAAAAAAAAAGAAGAAGAATTAAATAGTATATACGGTATCAGGATTATGTGGTCTAATGGTATCCGGGTTGGACTTCCATTTGGAAGATTATGAGTTCGAGCCTCAGTGGAGGCGTTATTGGTTTTTTGTGTTTCAGTAGGTTGAAAAAGTATATGAACAGATACTACAATGTAATAGAACCAGTAGCTTTCAAAAAAAAAAAAAAATAGTATATACGGTCAACATTGTATTTATATGTATGGATAGATATTCATATAGATATTAAATGAAGTGGAAAATGAGTATTTTACAAAAACACCTTTGGCAGAGGCGTGTTTGCTTTCAAACATTCAAGTAGTTTTTCCCTTTCACATCTCTCATTTTATCTTTCCTTGTTTTGGGTCCCGAGCATATCAAAGTCTTCATCGGAGAATGCACCTGCTAGCTTGCTCAACTCCCATCAATATCTCTTGATGATATATTTTTGTTTTAGACACAATGACTAAAGGTACGTACCAGCTCTACAATTAATAGTTAAGACATGTTGGCTGAGTATTATATATATGATGAAGTTTTTAATATATTGAGTTCAAGTTGAGAGGAGTTCACATGAGTTGTAAGTTATTAGGCAAAACATTAGCTAAATACGGTGATACAATCAACCATTGTGTACCATCATCTTGAGGACAAGGTGATTTTGACGGGCATGGAAATGATACAACCAGCTGCAATACTATTATTATTATTATTATTATTATTATTATTATTATTATTAGTGGTTTAGTTTATAGTGTAATAATGGGTAGTTAGTTATACATGTAATGGGGTAGTGGATAGTTAAAGGGGTGGTGGGTAGTTTTATTATCAGTATAAATAGCTACATGTGTATTTGAAGAATATATTTATAGATGTCTGGAGACATTTTGGGAGTTAGACTATCACTCGAAGTATAGTCATTGAGAGTTTGACTGTCACTCGAAGCACGGCCATGGAGTTTGGCTCTTGACTCGAAGAAGAGCAACCCATACAACCTCAGGGTTGTATCAATTGGTGCTTTCATTGAGAGTATCAATCTGGAAAAATTATTTTCAGGCTTGCGAAAAAAAAAAAAAAAGAAAGAAAAATCATAAACAGAGTAACACTTGTTGAGTCGTGGATTTGCATAGCAGCTTCAAGAAGATATCAAGTTCCATACAGTTTCCACACCAATACAGTATCACTTGTGCTCTCTTGCAAATCCCACAATTACATTGGAGTACCTAGCAAAGCATGTTTTGCTTCAACTTCGGTCGATTCTTGCAAGGCAACATGAACATAAAATGGAGGAATTGAAGCTAGGTGGCCATAATTTACGTACATCACGTTGGGTACTAAAGCAGAGTTATTCAAACTTTTGGAGCTATTTCTGATTAATTATCACCTTGAGGACAAAGGTGATTTTGATGGGCATGGCAATGATACAATCAACCATTGTGTACCATCACCTTGAGGACAAGGTGATTTTGACGGGCATGGAAATGATACAACCAGCTGCAATACTATTATATTATTATTATTATTATTATTATTATTATTATTAGTGGTTTAGTTTATAGTGTAATAATGGGTAGTTAGTTATACATGTAATGGGGTAGTGGATAGTTAAAGGGGTGGTGGGTAGTTTTATTATCAGTATAAATAGCTACATGTGTATTTGAAGAATATCAATGAAGAATATATTTATGATGTCTGGAGACATTTTGGGAGTTAGACTATCACTCGAAGTATAGTCATTGGGAGTTTGGCTGTCACTCGAAGCACGGCCATGGAGTTTGGCTCTTGACTCGAAGAAGAGCAACCCATACAACCTCAGGGTTGTATCATACGGCATTGGCATACTTCTAACGTTATAAATTTTGTTCGAAATGACATATGTTTAGGGTTTAAGAAGTTATTAAAAATCATAAAATAGCCAATCAAACTATTAGCGTATTAAAAGAAAGCTTTAATTTTATTGACACGTCCATTACATACTCTATTTTGATATCTAAAGTCATAAATCGTTCAAACATTGGTCCTAAATTAGGGCACCGCATATCCCCTCTACACGCCTCCACTAAGTCAACCATTTAATCACCAAAATCGAGTCATATTCAACCAAGATATATACAAACTACTACATTTATAAATACAAGCTAAGTTTATTTATATGAACATGTGCAAATAAAAATATTGAGAAATACATATATACTAAGTTAATTAAAAAGGTTAAATCTTCAACCCAAAAGACCCGACAGAGTATTTGAGAAGATGTAAATTACTGTGATTCAATGGCTCAACAGACCTGGCCAAATGCCAGTGCGCACAAGAAATCTGTCTATACTTTGGACACAATCCCACACTGTCACAGTCAAGATTTAAACTTTGATTTCTTTTCTCAGATACTGCTTGCTGAACTAATGATCTAAATTCGCGCGGCAGTCATTCACTATTCTTGTCTTAATATACAACTTAAGACTGGTAAAGGAAGTCTTATAGATTAATTTTCTCAATAAGGTTAAATCCTTACTTTATATGACTACTAATAAAATAAAATTTATGAACTTATTTTGGATTCGATAACTGATTGAGCTGTGTCTAGGGCTATGTTTTTTAATATCTAAACTTATTTAAAGTGATTCATCACGCTTATCTTATTTTAGGCATAAAGTTGAACGCATTCATATATACTATATTTGGAACACCAACACAGTACATCAATCGTTATACCCTACACCACGGCGCACATATCACTGTGCGTCGCGCGCCTTCCAAAACGACGTTGTTTTGGGGTCGTTTTGGGAGGCGCGGTAGGAAGTTGCTGGGATTATGTGTATTTGTTCACACAGTTATGTGTATTTGTTCATACAGTTATGTGTATTGGTTCATACAGTTATGTACATTTTTTATACAATTATGTACATTCGTTTTATACAATTATGTACATCCGAATCAGAAAATTTGTGTATATTATGTTAATAGTTGATGTGTATTATGTTAAAAGTTTATGTTTATTATGTATTATATTAGATTATGTGTATTATCTTTTAAAAAGAGTATGTATATTTTGTTATATAATTATGTACATTCATGTATACAATTATGTGTATTCTAGTATAACATTATGTACATTCTTGAACAGCGGGGTTTTTTTTAAAGAAAAAATTAATGTCATTCACTGGGGCGGGAAATTTCAAAAAATAAAAATAAAAAAATAAAACAACATCGTTTTGCATCTGGGCGCATAGTGCAACGCGCGCCGTGGTGTAGGATATAAATTGCCACAGTACATGCATGCACCTATGACGTACAACTAACTGTACAAGTCGCAGGTTCCTCAATATGGGCCCGTATAATGGGCCGAAATATAGGAAAGGACAGAAGATGATTGGGCCCCACTGGACAGATCCAGCCCATTGCAGAGCAGGCCGGCCTGGCGGCCTGTCAACATATATATTATTATTAATCCTAATATCATATTACCACGTTTTGTATTTTTTTTTTTGGGTTGACCACGTTTTGTATTTAATTATGCTGTTTAAAACGTGAATTTATGCTAATAATAAACTAGTAGTCATAGTAACACCTTTTTAGTTTTCTATAATTTTTTAAAAAATGGAGAGAATTTTGAAAGGTCAAAATATTCTCAAATTAAGTTTGATTTTGACCCTCATGCATATTCTTTTTGTAGGCCACATTTATTACCTAAATTGAAAGTTAGGATATAAATTTGGAACCTACTATACTATCCACTATTAAAATATAGTGTTTGGTAGGTCAAAAAAAAAAAAAAAAAAAAGTACAAGCAAGTTCAAATCATATGCATTTTACTTGTCACTGAATAAAAACTTTGTTGGCTAAGAGCTCAGTTTGACATGTAGACCTCTTCTATGTGAGAAGTCATGAGATTGAGCCTCAGTGGAGGTGTTGTTAACTCTTTGTGCTTTATTAGGTTGAGAAAGTATGTTTGAACATATACTACAATGTAATAGAGTCAGTAGCATTAAAAAAAAAACGTTTTCAGTTGTAGCTTGAAACTTCAAGTAGAGGTATTAACTCTTTGTGCAATACTACATTGTAATAGAGGTTTTGTAATTTTTTTATAATGCTGTATTGTTTGCATATAACTCCGGGGATGAACATTTGAAAATGTTTGACGATGCACATGGGAACTTGATAGTACATTTGGACTCAAAACATTTTCAAATGCACGTCATGCATTTCTAGCTAAATGACTAAATTATCACCCCTACATCCCGTCATAAGAGTTTCAAAATGCAACATCAAACATTTCTAAATGCACGATTAATCTAATCCTAATTACATAAGATTACAAGAACACTACTATGTTTTTTCCCTTTTCATTGGATTTCAACATTTAATCATGTTTTAGATGGATAGACTAGATCTATCCACACGTTCGCACATGGGAAGCTTTTATATATATATATATATATATATATATATATATATATATATATATATATATATATATATATATATATATGAAAAGAGGGCTGCATTATGTTACACGCAATAATCTTGTATATATTATCAAAACAAAAAAGGTTGACGCAACTTATATTATACTCCAATCAAAAGAAAATGCAGCCCATCCATGATGATTATATATAACTTGTGACATGAAAAGATACCATAATTGAATTGAGGTTTCTTGCATTTCACACTTAATTGGATCTCTATTTCCTTTTTCAATAACAAAAAAAAAAAAAAAAAAAAAAAAAACCTAAATATTTGCCAGCCGCCCAGCCTAAGCTTTATCCTAATCCGTATGAATGTAGCAATCAGATAACATGCAGAATATACTCAATTTCAATAATCTAACCTCTCTCATTTTTTTTAAGAAATAAAAAAAGAGGGAACACCGTACCCTAAGTTGAATGCTATTTAAGATAGGCATTTTTCTTGGTCAAGACATGCTCGAGTGATCAGCCACCAATTATTGTATATTGTCGGAAACTCGGTACAAACCTTCAGACTAATTTGAAATTTGATGAAGTAAATCGTAACATACATGTGCCTCAACTGGTCTGTTGGTTCGAACCTTGAAACTTGTGGTTGCTAACAAAAGTAATACTTTGTGAACTTATTTAGGATGAATGGACTAGTTTATCCAAATTTGCAAATGTAACCGACTTTAAAGCGCGCTCTTCATTGAGGGTTCGATACAGTCATTTTATTAACAAAATTAAAAATAAAAATTGAAAGAATAATCATACACACATCAACAAATAAAATACTAGCTGATATTGCTATTTGGTATAAGTAGCGATTAATATATATAATATTATGTACAAAATAGATGGTGCATGTACATACTTTAGTGCGTGGAGATGGATAATGATAACGTAATTAATATATTGACAGAGTGGAGATTGACATCCCTTAAGGCATCAGTTATTCCATTCCCAATCATCACCTAGCTAACTACCATATATTCTTCTCTAATTTGCAATTTAATTTCCAATAATCAATTAATCATATATTATTAATTACTTCTATCTATAATCTATCTATTCCCGTGACATATCTAAACCAAAAGCAAACGTGTTCATGTGATTCATGACTTGTATTTGTATATAATAATAATGCTTATTTTTCCTTTTACGTATTTTGATCATTCAATATTCTCAAAAAAAATAAAATCTTTTCAACAAAATCTTTTATCATATCATGTGACAATAAAATTTTCTTATTCATTAGTTATACTGATCTCACCCGCGTTATAAATAAAAAATAATATATTTATATTACCACGTTAAATGAGATAATCGTCGGTGGCTATACAGTATACATGCATGTATATGTATAGTCGTATAGAGAGAGAGAACCTAATTTCGGACATGCAGTCGATTAATTAGTCATATGAATATACGATACCGTGTAAGAAAAAAAAAGGTATAATAATGTTATGATGTTATCTACAAGTACAATATTAATCATATACAACCTAAGAATCCCTGTAACAACTAAAGTGTGTGTTTGACGCTTTGACTGGTTTCATACCTTCAGGCGGGAAGTGGAAAACTGACGACAATAAAGGCTGCTGTCAAATGTTAACTTCCACGAAAAAACACGTGGCCGCTATGCAATCCGATGTCGTAGACGACTCCAAAAGCCGACAAACAAAATCTTTGGCGGCTTACAATTTTCAATTTATTTTCTGTTTTTTTTTTCTCCCCCTATTTTCTTGTTTGGTGCGAGGTGGGGTGCGTTTGGCAGCTTCTGCCTAAAGGAATTGAAGACAATATCTATAATCTATAGACCATAGAGGCAGAAAGAGTAGAATCCAAACTTAAAATTAAACATTTTCTCCTTTTTGTTCCAGACGTGATTAAAAGGTGCAGAAATTTTTTTTTTTTGGAGTGTTTAAGGAGAAGGACCACTTAGTTCTTGGCTCTTTCCACCGCTCTGTTTCTGTTTCTTCCTCTTTTCTGGGAAAAAAAGATTCTTTAATCTATGTTGCAGAGCATGATTGGGCATCTGGGTATGTGCAGAATCTTCTTGCTGGTCTAAGGTTTCAATGTTTTTCCCTTGTTTTGTTTCTTTCTGGTGAATTTGCTGCTCTTAATGTTCTGGGATTGTTCTGCTATGTTTTTATGTATGTAAAGGTACTAACTTTGGTGTTCTTGTGGTGTATATTTGTCATGTTTCTTGGGCATTCATAGTCTTCTGTTTCTGGGACAATCATAGTTGTTCTCAGCCATGATTTGGGACTTTGAAATCTGGGGTTCTTGATTTGGTGTCTTTGTGTGAACAGTATCTTCTTGCTGGTCTAAAGTTTTGATCTTTTCCTTTTTTTTTTCTTTGTGGGGAATTTATTGCTCTTAATGTTCTGGGTCCAGTTATTGTTCTGCTATCTTTTCATGTATGCAGAGAGTGAAACATGTGGTGGTCTCTGCACTCTGCACTTTGGCCTTCCTGTGGTGCATATTTCTTATGTTTCTTCACAATCCAAAGTGTTTTTTTGTTTCTTTTTTCATGAGGTAAAATTGTATTTTTGGTACTCCAATTATAAAGCATAGACTTAGTCATTGAGTTATATGCGTGAAGTGACTATTTATGTCATCAATATGTTAATTAATAAAGTGTTTGATTTGGTCCTTCAAGGACTAAAATCGTCACTTTACTCGTAGCTTAGGAGTTAAATATAGTCATGCATATAATTCAGAAATAAGTCTGTACCCTGGGTATAACTGAAGGACCAAAAATACAAATTTCCCTTTTTAGATTTGGGACATTGAAATCATGGGTCTAAAACAGCTTCTTTGTTCTTGATTTGGTGTGTTTTCTGCAGTTTTTGGGTCTGAATTGTAAGTGATAATTGACAGTTTTCTGGTAGGTAAGTGAAGTTGAGATATGGAGAAAAGGAAGGGGAATGTGCACTCTCCAGACACAGTTCTTGAGGACTATTTAAACGGTTTAGAGTCCGAAACAGATTCTTCCAAGAACAGCAATAATTCTGAATTGGAAGCTCATCATAAGGAGGCAAAGGGCAGTTCAAAATGGGCAGGATTTATCCAACTCTTTAGAACAAAGTCGAAAAGCCATTTAGGTAGCTTGGATCCCTTGAATTCTCTCAAACTGTCGAAAAGATTCAGCAGCAGTATGAGGGAAACCGCTTCTGCTGCCAAGATTTTGCAGAATAATAGTGACGATTCGAACTGTTTCAAGCCACATTGGAGGAGCTTCAGCCTCTCGGAGCTTCAGACCGCCACGAGAGGCTTTCACCAAGGCGAGTAGCGATTTCCTTAGACATTTTCATTAATGCTTTTGATACGTGTGGTTTCAAAGAGAACGGATGGTCTTTTATGGTGTGCAGAAAGCTTGATTGGGAAAGGCGGCTATGCTGAGGTGCACAAGGGACGCCTGAGAGATGGGCAGCTCGTTGCAGTTAAACGCTTGACACGAGGGCCTCCCGAGGAGAGAGTAGGAGATTTCTTATCCGAGCTTGGGATAATGGCTCATGTCGACCATCCCAATACTGCTAAGTTGATTGGCTATGGGGTTGAAGGCGGATATTTCCTCGTTCTCGAGTTATCCCCTCATGGAAGCTTAGCCTCTATGATGCACGGTCCGGGGACCATCTTTCACCTATATATGAATTTCCTTTCCTTGCCTTCTATATTGTCTAATAACAGTTTCATATGCTCTTTTATTTTGCAGTTTCAAAGCGGAAATTGGAATGGGTTATCCGGTATAAGGTTGCTCTAGGGACAGCTAAAGGGCTTCAATATCTTCACGAGGGCTGTCGAAGGAGAATTATCCATCGAGATATCAAAGCTGCAAATATATTGCTTACAAAGGACTTCGAGCCTCAGGTCTGCTTTTTGTTCTTATCGGTCTGCAGAGAATGTCACTGACATACTTAGCTATTTACCTTAATTTTTACAAATAGAATCTCATAGAGAACATGCCTTTTTTACAGATTTGTGATTTTGGACTTGCAAAGTGGCTGCCAGAGCGATGGACTCACATCAATGTGATGAAATTTGAAGGGACGTTCGGGTAAAGATCGAGCAAACACATATCATTCTTCCCTGCTAGTCTCTTTCGATTTTACTTTCGAGTAAAACCTTGTCATGATTTCAGATATCTTGCGCCCGAGTTTCTAATGCATGGAATAGTAGACGAGAAAACTGATGTGTTTGCCTTCGGGGTGCTGCTGTTGGAGCTCATCACTGGGCGTCGAGCCCTTGATTACTCGCAGCAAAGCCTTGTAATCTGGGTATATATATATATATATATATTCCTCGATCTTTCATTCTTTCCCGGATTCCCATCCTACTCTCGTGTTAAGATCTTATTGTTAATGTCTGCAGGCAAAACCTCTGCTAAAGAAGAACAGAATTCGAGAGCTTGCTGATTCGTCGCTTGGCGAGAGCTACAACTTGCTGCAGATGAATCTCATGGCCTTGGCTGCTTCTTTGTGTGTGCAGCAATCTTCGATAAAGCGCCCTCGAATCAGCCAGGCAAGTGGTGATATACACGTTTAATTTCTAGTTCGTGATGAATCGAATCGAAATTTTTTATGGATTCTGAATCGTGATACACTTACAGGTTCTGCAGCTTCTGAGAGGGAACTATGAGAGCCTGGATTTGATCAGAAGATGCAGAAAGCCAGTGCAGTGGAAGGGATACTATGAGGAACTCTTCAATGCAGAAGAAGGGTTTCACAAGAACAGCAACTTGAGGAGTTGTCTTAGTCTGCAGGAACAGATTGCTATGGAAATCCAAAATGGATGAAGACGGGATTGAAGGACGTGTTCTGTCTCGACTAAAAGGTTAAACAGACAGCGAGACATATACGGTTATTATTTATATATATTATGCTCGACGGGAGATGTCTGCATGCACTCTTTCGATCCGTCACCAAACAACGCCAAGCATGTTTGTTTATAGCATGTCAAAGAATTATTTGAAGGCGGGAATCGCAACACTTTTTACAACATCAGTCAGCTGTAGCGGAGGTGTAACTGTATTTTCTTATACGTTCATAGCAATGAATATAGGACTTGGCCTCCAACAAAACCTTTGCCTCCTACAACCTCTTTAGATAGAGTTCCCACATTCTTCTGCTGTGAATACTTTTGTTTTGTTTTGTTAGTTAGAATGTTCTTTCAATTCATATTACGTTAGCCTTTTTGGTTTGAGCAGGTTAATTATCTTTTGTCAATTAGGGTTGAATTAGATATGTTTCAGAATTTAAGAAAAAAAGTCAAATAGATCCCTCAGCATATAGTTTCTATGTAATTATTAGGTTATTGAATTTAAAAAGTGTTCAAGATAATCATTAAACATAAAAATTTTGTACAATTAAGATATTTTTAAATTTTTTAAATGTAGTTTAAGTACAGTTGAACACATTTCAATCTTTCCTTTTAATTAATATGGTAGAGAAAATGACGGCTCTTATTACATATCATATTACCATGTAAGTAATATTACAAGGTTTTACTGGAAAATTTTTTTAAAAAATATTTCAATTATATATATTTTCTTCTTTGATAATTTGGATCACACATTTTTTAAGTTCAATAACTTAGTTGTACATAAGTAATAAGTTCAGTGGCCTATTTGATATATTTTTTTCAATTTAAAATTTTTTGTAAACACACAAAATTCTAAATTCTTTTATGTAAAATTGAAAAATTCTACACTTTCACAATTCAGAAAAGATGAATTTTGAATAGAAGACTCACTTTTTATTTTAGAAAAATGACACTTTTTCTCCTAAGTTGTTTACTTAACATTTTTCCCCTGTATTATTTAAGTGGTTATTTCTTTCCTTCTATGTTAAATAAATGTTTAGGGTGTTAAAAATAAGGACAAAAATGATATTTCACTTTTTTATTTAATGGGGATGGAGAGGTTCACCGATATTACATATTCCCTTCGCTTTGCTTAAAATTTTCACAACATTCTCGAATCAACTTCGAATTATTATATTAAATCAACAGCCTTCATCCCCAGAGATTCTCTAACCTCGAATCAACACCCCCACCCATTATAGATATTACCCCCACCCCCCTCCCCCCGACCTACACTCAAAACAAAAACATCCAAAACAAATACTGTTGGAAAAATAGCATTAAAATGACATTTTAAGTTGCTATTTTGTGGTACAATTATCAGTGGGGTCCACTTCCGATTTGGGTCAGGTCAAAGTGGATTCGAGTTCATCGTAGTGAGACGAAGAGATTGATATATTGTACACTCAAAACGGATAATGGTGAATGAGATATTGACTCTCAAAGTAGACCCATTGAGTTGGGAAAATGAAGGGAAAAATGAGCTTTTGTCCCACATTGGTTTGAGAAGAGGATTTGCCCCGTATTGAATTGTATACCATAGAGGCCCTCTCTTGCGCGCAAGGGGGGTGAAAATCAAATCCCAAATTGAGATAAAAAAAGGCTTGATTCAAGCTTGAGTTGGTAGGCCTTGCAGGCTAAGTCATGCCAACTCTCGATATCAATTTTCCAAAGTCACTTGAAAATTGGACCTTGGTCGAGAGTTCGACCTTGGACCTTGGTCGAGAGGAGGTCGAAAGTTCGGCCTTGGGCCTTGGTCGAGAGGAGGTCGAAAGTAACACAGCTGGGACAATACTTGTGGGATTAAATTCATCCGTTATGGAATTAATTGTCTCCCGTTATGGAATTAATTGTCTATTAATTCCAATTTTTAAAATTTGAATTTAATCTCACTTAATGGTGGTTGTTTCAGGTGTTACAAATCATTTGTTAAATGCCAACTTGAATGCTATTGATCATTCATCTCCTATATAAGAAGAGAGTTGACAGTGAACAAGAACACAACAAGAGAGATACACACTTGCACGTTTTTCCAGCTTCAAAACTCTGCTTCTACTCATTTCTTTGCCTAGCTGTGTTCAAGGCTTTGCTCTAGTTCGCCGGGTTCGTTCGTTTGGGTCCTCAAACGTCGAACCGTAGCACGTTTTATCTTGGGAAACCTAGGCCACAACGCTCCTAACACTTTTAGGAGGGGGCAAATAAGGTTTTAAGGAAAGAGTGATCTCTTGACTCGCGCTAAAAACCCTATACCCATACACGAGCCATCTTTTCCTTCTTTCGATTTTGGATTATGCTTCTAAGCAAAAATCCTCTCTCTATTTGATTTAGTTGTGGATTGAAATTATAATCTGAGGATTCTACGTTCCAATTTTGATTGATATATATTTGTATATCTTTTCCATAGATATATATGTATATATAACCATGGGGATCTGATTTATATATATTTGTGTGTGTGTGTATATATATATGGAATTCTTGAAGAATGTCCGTTCAAAGAAAAAGGACCTATTACTATATTCTGTGATAATAGTTCAACTATAAAGCTGGCCAAAGGAGCAGGCTATGGTGCTGTTGTTCGTGATCACGATGGCCGGTTCATGGCGGCGAGAAGCGGTCGAATTGTGGGCAGCCGGGATCCACTAATGGTGGAAGCAATTGCGGCTAAGGAAGCGTTGACGTGGCTCAAAACTTCCCATTTTGAGAATATCATTCTTGAATCCGATTGTATTAATTTTCGTAACGCTTTCAATTCTAGTAGTACGGACTACTCGTACGTAGGGGTGATAGTTAAGCAATGTCGTGCTATTGCTAATGACATAGGTAATGTAAATGTTTGCCATGTCAAGAGAACAACGAATCGTGTGGCTCATGAGTTAGCTCGGGCAACCGGTTCTTCTTCTGTCTCTAGAACGTGGGAATTTATCCCACCAGCCTGTATTTCCGGTTTATTAAGCTATTAATGAAGTTGTTTGCTTTTGTTTCAAAAAAAAAAAAAAATAAAGCTGGCCAAAAATCCTGTTCCATGGGAGATGCAAACATATTGATGTCAGGAGACACTTTATAAGGGACCTTGTTAAGGAAGGAGCTATTGAACTCGTGTATTGCAGAAGTGAAGATCAAGTTGCTGATATCTTTACCAAAGCATTCAAGTCAACAACATTTGAGAAACAAAAAATGATGCTAGGAGTTTGTGACCTGAAGTTTACTGAAGATTAAAGTGAACATTTGAGAGTTTAGTTTAGGAGAGGACATGTTAGAATATTTCTCTGTTTCTTTATAGTTTTTTCTATATTCTGAACTAGTCATAAATTAGTTCCTATTCTTTAGTGATTCTATTTTGATCCTATTTTCTAGCAAGATATGCAGGTTGTTTCTGATATTGTATTCTAGCCTATTTAAAGGCTTTGGTCAGTGAATAACATACACAGATTATCTTCCTCAATTACAATATTATTAGTGATCACTAAGTGTTTGAGAAAATACTTGAAAGACTTCCTTGTTCTTCCTAAATCAGTTTTCAACACGGTAGGTATCGTACAAGGCACAAGCAAGCAATAATAGATTTGAGGAGAAGATAATGTCATTGTTGAATAAGCATATAATTAAGTCGGGATGCCAAAGGTTGGCCAAAACTTACAGGCCCGTCTTAAACCAAGCATCCTATAACTTTTCTGATAGAGTCAACAAAGAACGACAATGAGGTATGTTGAGAAAAATGGGATCAAGAGATCAAGAACAAAAAAAAAAAAAAAACAAAACAAAAAAGAATAAGAGTCTACATCGCAAGCAAATGAGATTTTTATTAATTGTTATGATTAAACATCCTAGGTTGCAAGCATCATATTTATAGACAAACCTAACGGTATATTTATAAAATTACCATGTACTGTACCACAAGGGCACTGCCCCCGCACCCCAACCCACTTAGCGAACCCAGTTCAAGTTTGGATCACAAAGACAAGTCATGTTGTAAATATGAACGGTATAGACTACAACATACGATACCAGGTCGGATCATTCGCCTAGTATGGTTGTTGGTTTAAGCTTTCGAACTCGGGACGTACAGCAGTAGATCAGTGGTCTCCGAGCTAAAAGTATTAGTTATGAAGTAGTTGCGAATCCCCCCCTCCCCCTCTGTAATAAATGTGGTATTTATAGTTGAGGAAATGAGGCAAGTTCCGCGCTCTCGACATGTAGGGCACGTGGAGCCCATGCACAGGTCTAGACCGGGTCCAAAGGGGTTGCGTACACGTGCATCAATGTTTCTGAGGGTGCACAACCATTGCGGGATCTCGATCGTCAGTTCAGCCCTGACCTAATAAGGTCAGGCGCACGCCGCTCGCAAGGAAACCCACAGGCTCGCTTAATAAAGGTGCCCAGCGAGAGGTTAGGTCAACTGAAGAATCGGAGGACCATTCAGAGATCTTGTTCCCGCACCACACTATTGATACTACTTGTAACTCAACTTTAAATTTTAGTATATAATCCAAACTTTGTGTTTACAATAATAGTTCCACAAAAGTTAATTTTCATTAAATTAACTGTTGTATGTGTTGAATATGTTTTAGTGAATGGTACTTTGAACCATTAATGCATGCATGAATGAAGATAAGAGAATCAGTTGCACTAACCCCAACATCCATGGCATCTTCTCATCATTGCAGGACATGTCATGGCCTAACCATTCCATTACTGCAATTAACTTTAGATAACAAATCTGGAAATTTTGGACCGTCATATTTCAATTATTTTCCTATGCTACTTACTGCTATATGAGTATGTGTATTTATAAAGCTTAGCTGTGATGTCTCTTTCATCAACCTGCACTGACCCCTTTGCTTTTTCCACTGTCAATTTTATAGGGGTGGCGGTGGCCTGCATGCCTCCCACCCCCTCCTATAATTTCACTCTTCCTATCTTTCATTTTCTCAATATTTTCTTTAAGATGTCAATGCAAAACAACTGAGAACTATCTACTCAAACCGCTTCACTTCTATTCCTTATATGTGACAGACTCATATTCCTAATCCTATATGAGACAAACTCAACAGTTGCATAAATGCATAATCACAGAAACAGCCAACACATATAATCAACCATAAAGTAAGCTGCCAATGATATCAATCAAGTTCAAAATGCAAAGAGTATGTATCAGTTGTGATATAACAGTATATGGAAGAAGAAGAAGGTTTTATTCGGTTTACGCGTGTTTCCTCTATAGCAATTCCTTTGACCTATACCTCTATCAGAAGTTCAGAAGTATAAAAGTTA